TGGGTATACTCGCATACTCAATCGCTCTGCGTTGTATTTGTTCCTGTATACGTTGATTCTCGCTGCATGCTGACTGGCTGCTGCCCGCCTTCCTACCTTCTTCCTGCTTATCGTACTACTCGACTACCTACTGTCGAACACACAGGGGTCGTAAGTGATTTGGCGGTGTTGCCAGCTGCTCGGCATCGCCATGTAATGCATGCGAATGTTTGCCTGCAATGAGCCACCATCTTAACACAGATATCTTATCAACTACAGGCGAAAAGTAAACAAACATGTTGATTTATTTCCCCATAAGATCTTTTAATTTGTAAAAAATGTTAATGCTTGTAGTTATTACCTGACAGATAAATGGAATATTTAACGGATTTTTTATAGGCTTAAGATAAAATTACTGATTCACCAAGTTTGTCTGCCCCATTTGAGTAAAAGGAAAATTATTCCATTATTCACAACTAACCGGCTTAGTATGCGCGAGACTTTGCCATGCGCTGAATGTGTAGATATTCAATATGATGCGATTGACAACTAAACAAGTTGCAACCCGACTAAAATTACTGCGAATCGAAAGGTTAAGCCTTTCTCTTGGACATATAACTTTTTTAAATTGAATGAACTGTGCAAATCTAATGTCATTAACCAAAAATGCCCTCACGTATTATACATACATAATTTTTAAATAGGTGGCAACCCCACTGAATCAAAAAAAAAAAAAAAAACTGATTGCACATGCAGAGACCATATCCTTTGCCTTGGTACCTCAGTTTTTAGTCCAACAAACGGTGAAGATCTTATAATTTTTAAAAAGTGGCAACCCTACTCAAAAAGTTATACATTAACATTGAACATCTAAAAGCCGAGCCTTTTTATTTGACACCTCATATCTTGTAATCCAACGAACAGTGCGGATCTAGTAATTTTTTAAACAGGTGGCAACCCTATAGGAATTTAAATTACTAAAGATAATATTGCTATCAATACAGATTATGCTTAAGAAATATCGTATAAATCCGTTCAGTAGTTTTTGAGATTAGCGTGGTGAAAATATCTCGACTTTGCTTTATACAATGTAAAGAAGATAGTAATTTTTAAATAGGTGGCAACCCTATTCAAAATATTAAAGCTTTTGTACATACGAAGGCCAGACCCTTTCATTTTGTATCTCATTTAATAATCCAACGAACGGCGAAAATCTTTTAACTTTTTAATAGGTGGCAACCCTACTCAGAAATATAATACATTATTGCCAATGTAGAGGCTAAGTCTTTTCGTTTGACAGTGACGGTGCAGAACTGATCCCTACGCTTATTATGATTGAATATAGTAATTTTATTAACAGGTGGCAACTCTATTAAAAAAAAAACATTAGAGCTTTTCTAAAGGTCAATCCCTTTCATTTAGCTCCACATCATTTGTAATCCAACGAACGGTCTTATAGTTTTTTAGACAGGTGGCAACCCTATTAAAATTCTAAGTAAAAAAGGACACTCTTCTGTCGATACAGAGTATATTAGAGAAAATCTCGTCAAAATCCGTTCATTAGTTTTCGAGATTACCGCGTACAAAGAATCTCGACTTTCCATTACACTATGTTTAGATTAGGGCTGCGACTATGCCATAATTCGGACATCCGGATATCTGTTCGGATAATCGTGTATAGAAAGGCCCTCCGGAGTCTGAAGTTAAGTAGTTGTGAAAAGTCGAATCTTATTCAATGGAGACGCTGCCCGAAGAGACACCAATACGAGTGAATAGAGACGTTGGCCGAGGTCTCTCGTTTGCATAAAGCTTTATCCAGGGAATCCTTCAATGGGATAGGTTTCCTAAGAGGATAAGATGGCACTTTTACAAACTACAACAGCAAGACTCTAAAGTACTTGCTTCAAGTGCATTTCCCCAAGATCTCCGGTGGAACCAGCTAGGATGACTAATGTCTCCTCAAAACAAATGCTCTCCAGAGTGGGAAGTCAAGGCAGATTTGGTGTATCTTTGATAGAGACAAGGTACGATGAAAGGAAGAGCCTTTCCAACCTTACAAAGCAACACGTGTTGATATTTTAGCAATTGAGAATATCAAAGTATCTGAGTTATTCTGGTACTTCTGGTGTTAGGCCAAGAGAGGAGAGAGTCCGTAGCTCCACCCTGCAAGAGTGCAGAGATTGCGTCTGGTCTCTCTCGGTAGTTTCTTCTTCAATTGTCGAGGGGCGACGGTCGACTACCTAGGACGATGTTGTCCTGACTATATCATCGTGTTAGTTGTCGAGCACAACTGTGTTTTTTTCTGCGCCGAATGTATGCTCTACGTACGGCTCGATGTCGGTTCTCCAGAGTGTTCGAGCTCTTTTTCCGCCCAATGAAGCTGACACGACTTGAGATTGCAGTCTGTAGCTGTACGTAGAGCTACATTCTGGTAGGTTTGCCTCCGATCACATTGGCGCTGCGGAGTTAGCCACCTACCTACCGATTGCCTTACATGGAGTGAGCAGGAACTCTTTGTCGGCTCCCCAAGTGCTGCCGGCTATAGGCTTGAGGACTTTGTTCCTGGTTCGCAATTTGTTACCAGTGGCTGAGGCGTGCGCTGAGAACTAGAAAACGCTGTCCAACGTGATTCAGAGGTTTTAAGGACAGATGACCGTCGGTATCTTGGCGTCATCGACGTTCAGTTCACTGCCAGAGGCCCCAACATTTCTGGAAACTTGTTCTTAACTTTCCTAAACCCTACAGGACTGTAAGTCCAACTTCCTTAGGCCTACACATTAGGTGCACAGAGCTTATCTGCTCCCTTGCACCATACTAAATTATCGATTCTCAAACAGAAATTAACTAATTCGGCCTTACAGTAGCTGGTTGGTAAGATCGATCGAAAGCGCTTTCAATACCAAGGAGATTGCTTTGTGTTCTCTCTTGGACATCGAGGGGATTTCAATAGTACTGCCTATGTTTCTAGTATATCGAGGCCATTGGACTATTGGTGCCATGGTTTGCACAGTAATCCCTTGGAGATTGGAGTCAGGTGACCACCTAGTAAGATTACATAAGTGTGGTTACAATGCTATTGGACACGCAGATGATCTGGCAGTTTTGGTTTCACGAAAATTCCGTATTACTGACTCGAGATGTTGGGAGTACAGCTCTTACTGGACTTTCAAATTGGTGTGCCAATAAGACTCAGCATAAATCCGCAAAAGGAATTCTCGTACTATTTACTATAAGGTTTTTCGTTGACTGACGAAAAAGCGAAAAGTCACCACAATGTGGGCACGATGCGACGAAATCGCACGTCCTGCAAAGCGCAGTAGCAAGCAAATTTGTGGTCCGATGAGCTTATTGCTTGTTTCTTTGGCCTTTTTGCTTCAGTTTGGTCGGAATAAGTCTCTGTAAAAGACGGTATTGTCCTATATGATGTAGATAGCTAGCAAGCCGACGCCAAAGGATTTCAATCTTACTGAGAACTCTTTACGCAGCGTAGTGAAATGATACTGAAGTTATACCACCACAACACAGAAGAGAGAAAGCGGGATACTTATCCTGAGAAGGCTTTAACTCGACAGGCATAAGAGGTGGGATTTCGGCTATTGTACTTGGATAGACAGAAAAACAAGCTGCGTCTGTAGTCGCTCCGAAAAAATTTGTTACCGAAGGTTTCGGCCAGATATGGGTAAAAATAAATTACTTTTACGTGAAGCTTTTTTGTTACTTCATTAAGTGGAGAGGATCCGATTTTTTTTCAGTAAGTTACTGCTATTGGAAAAAAGTGCCATCAGCACAAGAGGACCGATGTTGAGTGCGAATCTTTAACCTCTCGGCCAAAGTGATCTGATAGCAATATTGATGATTTTAAAGGACTAACTCTAACTCTTTATGAGAGAGCTTTCTCTACAAATCCTAGTATTGCTCCTGACGTACTTTTTCACCTACTGTTACTTGGATTTGGTATCTGAGGAAGGCTACTTGTATGCTTCAAATATTTACATGCTTTGTGAAACAGTGGTGCTCTTGTGAAACAGTGGGATTTGAGGTAGACATTTATTAGAGGCGGATATTCATACACAGCATAAAGCTGACTTTTCATTGCCACAGGATGATAAAAGAGTATTATCTGCAACCTTGGCTATATTGGGCTATCAAAACTCATTACAAGACCTCGCTCAGTCCTAATGCCCAGCTGAAACCCAACAGCGATCGGACTAACTCACAATCGTTGTCGTCAAGTTTGACTCACTGGAGAGCCAGGAAGTGTGCTACTCCAACTGGGTTGGTCCATAAGTAGAGGGGCGTAAGTTGAGTGGAATTTAGGACGTATGCGAAGAGGTGTTGCGAGGCATACGGTGAATCTATGCATACCGGTCACTTACTGCCACAAGTGCTTTTTTCCACATCGGATAGGAGTTTAGTCTGCTGCAGTATCTAGATCGAAGTTGGGCTGTGGTGGTGCGAATCTTCCGAGGCAGACGAAGCCTCGTCGTGTAGGTGATGCTATGGCAACATCAGAAGGCATCCGGTGGCTGTCCGGACTGCCGTTTTTTGGCAAGCCTGTAGCTTCGTCCACTACATCTTGCTAGTCCCCGGCGACAAGACGGCCGCTGCCTAGTTTAGAACCAGCCGGCAAATCGCCTTGTATGTCGCCAGTAAGTTTCTTTGTCTTTGCCCTAGGTGCTGCTGGCTAGTGACTTGAGGACCTTGTTGCGGATCTAAACTCAATTGACAATTGCGGTTGTATGCGCCGAGAAGGAGAGCAGACTATCCAAGGCAACCCCCCAGTTGTTGTTGTTGTTGTAGCAGCATACAAATTCCCCAAAGACTTTTTGGGAAGTGTTGCTGGAGTGACAGTCCTTGGCCAGATATAAATCTGGGTCGTTCCGGTTACGTAGACCCGACTGTCGTGGGAACGGGCAACCCCCCAGTATTTTATGGTTATTCACCGTCGGAATTGGTAAGCTATGGACGCGAATACCCAGCTGTAGTCTGACCTTCTTCGTCCGGGTGGTAAAAAGAGTTGCCGAGGATTTCATAAGGAAGATAGTTAGACTCTTTGCAGTGAAGAAGCGATAAAGTTCGGAGAGGTAACCGTTTAGATTCGAGCGCAAGTTATCAATTCCATTTTCGGACGCCATTATGGTGGCTTAGGGAGCTTTGAAATGTAGTAATTAAACAGAAAAGCGGAAAGGACACCACCCTGTGGGACTCGCTTGTTTAATCCTTGTTTTATCCCTAAAAATTACTGACAAATGTCGACTACTTAGATAACTCTCTGACCACCATTTGAGTCCCTATTGGAGAGAGGAGGCCTCAATGGCTTCTAATCGCGTGGAGTGGCTGACAGTGTCAAACGTTGTTGTTGTTGTTGTTGTAGCGGCTACAACGCTACTAGAACTATTCTCTCACAGGGATGGTTTCGGTTTAAGCCACGAGTTATGTCAGTGCTTATGGCTTTAAGTGCTGTTGTTGTGCTGAGCACTTTACGGAACCCAGGGTCAGGTTGTTCGTATAGTGCGGGAGTAGCAAGGCCTGAAGTGTCTTCGCTGCAGGGAAAGGAGTGTTATCGGCCAATACGACTCTCCTTTGTCCACCGGTTTAAGCAGTGGGATCACTCTCCCTGTTTTCCAGATGTCCGAAACGATGAGAGCGGCCATAGACAGGTTGAGGACCTTGGTGAGGTAATTTGCTCTCGCAGGACCAAATTTTTTCAGCTATCGTCTTCCCGATGGCTTCCCTAAACTAGCCACGAGTAATTAAGAGGCGCACTGGGTTTTGGCAGTTTGTCCAGCCTTCTGGTCAGTCGACGTTTGGCTTTGTATAGGTCGCAACGTTATGCTGTCCCACCAACGTTATGCTTATCCCACCAGCGCTTACTATTGTTATGTCGAGCGAGCTGTTACAGCCGCGCATAATCCTGTTGGGTGCGTCGTAGAGAAATATAAGAGATTTCGCCGACCTAAAAAACCGGGTCCTTCCGGTACGTAGAACCGGCTGTCGTTGGAATGTGATGGTTGATCTTGTGTATAATAAACTTTGATTGTGTATGGTTTCATCTGTTGCCTTAAGACTGATCGGAAGAAGGGATTTCGCCTGATTGCAGGTTTTTTGCGTAGTTAAGTAATAACGTTGACCTAGGCTTCCCTCTATGCTTTCAAGAGATATATCAATGCTAGGCATGGACCTGGTTACGATGGGTGAGCAGATACAGTTCTTCTTGAGTTTGTACTGCTCAAATGAATCCCTTTGCCATCGCACTGAAGGCCAGCTGAATAGATATCTTGCTATTTTCTGGTATTCCACAGTGGGTCTGCGGCTGTCGTCAGTGTCTTCTTGTGGTCAGAAGAACTGGTGTCCTTTCCTCCTCACTCCTGTGTCATGCTGCTTTCAATATGAGGTCTGCCGTTATTGAACAGATAATACCATAAATTACTGGTGGGATTGCCGTCAGCGATTTTTTCGTCGCACAACGTCCCATCGGCATACTCGTGCATTGTAATCTTGTAATCCAGTTTGTTTTGACGGTTTTATGCTGCTGTCCGGCCCCCCATCGCTAGGGTTGTATATGTATGACTCATATGGAAGCGAAATATGAACATCTGAGCATCGTCAGCAACTACAAATCTTTTTCTCTGTTCTGAGAAGTGTCGTGTCTTACACGTGTATTGATAGGTGGAAAACTTTAATATAAGCCAATTTAATTTTAATTTACCTTAGCACTTTGAGTTAGTTGCAATAAGTACCTAAGTAATAACCACTAGACTAAACCTAGGATGCACACTTTATGAAGCAGGCAGCATATTAAAATTGTTACAACTACATTTCGATAAACAAAAGTACGATTTACAGAAAATTCAAGCTCACTTACCGTTAAATGACCAAATGTGTGACGGCAGCGACGTTGCTGTGTAGACGCGTCCAATGCCGCTTGCGCCACTAGATGAGGATGCCGCCAATGCAATGCTTTCGACGAAATTTGTGCCCGCTCCTGAAGCGTCTTGCAGATCATCAAAATTCAACGTATGCGAATGTGATCCGCTTCCTATGCCACGACCGCCGGTATTAATCCCACCACCGCTTCCTCCGTTCAGTATGAGCGAGTTGTCGTGAAATGAACTGCTGCTGACGGGTACACTCATACGAATACTACCACCACCCATACCATCACCGCCAAGGGGATATGGCTGATGTTGTAGATAGTTGGGACCAACTGAAGAGTGCGCTTGTGGGGACAAACCAAATGCATTGCTACTAGGCGCCGTGACTATTGCCGGATGTGTGTGTGGTCCACTACCTACAGCACAAGAGGAATGCGTTGTGCCATGTTGTTGATTGTGAATGTCAGGCACAGAGCTCAAACTGCGTGCCCGTTGTCTGTCGATGCTGGAGCTTTGGACGTGATGTTGCACCTGCAAGCTGGGCAATGTACGCAACAAGTTGAAGCCTTGACCGCCATCGGCACCAGTCGGAGCATGACCCAATCCACTATTAGATGCGACTTGTGCCGCATCGGTTCCAGTTGAACTGCTGGAAAAGGTACGCGAACGTGGGCTTTGGCCGCTGGCTGTCGGAGTGCTTGCCTTAGCGCCCATTCGTTGGGATTCAGTTTTATCTTTATATGTTTGTATGAACGTACGTTTGATGCGATGCGTTTTCGAGGATGAGTGTGTAGGTTGAGTGCTTGTAGTTTAAAACTTTGACGGATTTTCGATTCGTTTTTTTAACGCTTTAAATGCGTCTTACAAATATCAGTTGTCTCCATCTAAATTTTTTTGCAGAATAGAAGAGAAAGCGTTTGTTAAAGAATCCCTAAAACAGCTCTTTGTTATGTTTCCTTCAGTGTATGCGCTGTGACAGCAGCTTGCTCGTGAGGATGATGAACTGCGTAGGAGTGTGGGCAAAGAATTGGTAGCCGGTGGTTGTGGCAGATTACAAAGTTTCCAACGGAGTGCACATTGGTACCAGACAAAGGAATGCGATTAACCGTTGTTTACGCTATTACTTTTGCTGCACTGTTGTGGGTATGGTGGCAGCGTTCGTGTCGTTGCCCATTCCTCGTACAGCCAAAGTCAATCTGAATTTTTTCACCTTACGTGTCGTTGATCGCCTTTGCGTGCAGCAGCAACAACAAAAATAGCAAACAGTGGCGATTGCTTCCGATATGGAATCAGATTTCTGTTTTTATCGGCAATATACAAGTACGGTCCAATCTTAAAACGCTTCAAAGCTTTTTCGCCAACGAATTGCCAATTCAATAATAATTCTTATAAGCTATATAACTGACACCGCTGATATTTCTTCTGCCAGTCACCTCCGATGCCGCTGTTGCTGCTGCTCTACACAGCTAGTTATATCGCTAATTTGCTATCGTCTGTTTTTATGCGCTTTGTTGATGAAAAACAAAATTTTTTTCTTTTCCTGGCCTTACCTCACTCGTCGGCTTGTTTCGACATAAGCCATTCAATTTTTTTTGGGTTCCGAGTTTTTAGATATTTTTTGTTTATTATTTTGGTTGAAATTTTTCGTTTTACGGAGGAAACATTTGGTTAATTTACGAATCCTATGTATTTTTGTAGCCAAATCTGACAGCAAGTCGACATTTTTCGGGAAAGACAAAACGGAAAATGACACTCACGGCGTTGCCAGTTGGCACTGAAAATAAATTGGCGTTCAAAACAAAGTGTAAACAGGGAATGTCATATTAGTAGTCAAATTAAAAAAATATATATATTTACTTAAAAGTTATTTAACAAATAAATAAATAAGTAAAACAAATGTATGTAACAGAGCTCTTGATATTCGATCAATCGAGTTATCGAATAATTGCTTGTTTTCGATTATTCGATTAATAACTGGTGCGCGATTATTCAAATATTGAAATATTTGTATATGTACACAAACCGATACTCTGGTTTTGCTGATTTTAGGAGTGTACTCGTACCCAAAACTATCAAAAGTTTTAGGAAAGTGGTTTTTAGAATAACCGAATTATTCGAGTAATTTCGAGAGCCTTAATATGTATTTCTCAGATGAATAAAATTACGATATTTTTAGTGTAAAAATTCGTATTAGGTTAGTTTATTTTCTCAGTGGTCTCGAAGTTTATACTTCCGGCCCATAATCTAAATTATAATTGGTTCATGCTTCCGTTTTAGAAAATTTTATTTTAGTACGCGTTAAAAGTGTGTTGTTAGTTTTGGAGTTTATACATTTAGCTAAATAGTTACTTATTTATTTATTATTTTAATGTTTTCTGAAAAACCAGATAAAGTGAATTAACTACAGGGTAAAAACATTATGAAGAACTTCCCCCCGACTGGGCGACCACTGTCATTCCAAAAGCATTTTCCATAAATTTTTTAAGACCTTTTGGGCGTTGGTTGATCTCCCGACCAGTTTGGTTTTGAGACAAATTAGTTCAGGCGTTGTGCCATCTTCAGTGTAATTTTTAGACGAAACGACACTAAAAAAAAAAGAGTCACTTCGCCGCAAACTAAAGTGGACAAAGGGTGAGGATTTTTTTTTTTATTTGTACGTCACTCTTTAGAGGATTTTTATGCCACAAATCAGAATGAAGAACAGTTTGCTAAAGAAATTCTTCTTCTTTGCTAAAACGGTGCATCCACAAAGAAATCAAAACCATTCGCTTTAGTGTTTTATTTATTTCCTAAAAATCGCTTACAACATTAATTTCACTAAATTTTAGGATTGATCAAGAGAAAAATTGTTACTTAAATGCTGTCTTAAAGGTAAAAACAACGCATTGAGAGCAATTTTCGGGTGAAATAAAATTCTCAACAAATAGTGGAAAATTTAAATAAAAAATTATATTCAAAACTCACTTTTTTCGAACGATAAAATAATAATTATTAATTTGGCGCATAAGTGCTGCAACGAATAAAACAATTGCAAGTTTCTTAAACAAAAAGGAAACCTTATTAGAAATTGATAAAATCTATTATATATACTCTCATTGAGAATATTTTTTTTCTTCAAAATTCTTGTAAGCAGCTAATTTTGTTTGTAAGGAATACTCTGAGCGAAAAACGAACTCTTTTTATTAGTTCCTAAAAACTGCAAATTGATTCCCATAACTGGGGAAAAATTATTTAAAAAAGCTATTGATATTTCAATTTATTGCAAATTATACTTCATTAAAGTTAATATGTATTAGTATTTAGAAGCACGTCGGCGCTAAGTGGACAATATTAACCATCCGCCTTAAAAATACAATTAATAATAATATTAGTAATTTAATTAGCATTAAAATTTGATTTTTGATTATTTGAACTTTACATATACATATATAAATATGTAGCATAATTTTTTGTTTTTCTTCTTTCATTAAATTATTATTGTTTGGAAAACGCGATTATTAATGACGCTATAGCTGCTAATGTCTTCCGTAATTATGATTTTTGTTGTTGTTTTTTTGTGGCTAGCATTGCTAGCAAACTATATATAATAAGAATTATAATAATGATAATATCTATTATATGGTATAGTAGGTATTTCTTGTTGTTGCTGTAGTTGGCATTGTTGGACACCAACGTATTTCCCGTGTTTAAGTGTTTTTTAAATTGTGGTTTGAAATACTACCATATTAGTGTGATTTTGTTTTTGTTGTTTTTCTGTTGTAGCTGACACTGTTTGCGTTGCTGTTGTTTCTGCTGTTGTTGGTCGTATAGTCGCGTTTTCGGTGTTTGTTAGCATTGTACTTTCCGTATAGTGCCCGACGCTCCAACACTTCACGATACTCTTTGTAATTCATTTGAATTTCCTGCGAACGATAACGGTCAATTTGATTGATTTTCGAGTTTCTGGGGTGATTGCTGCACGGTATCCCCCCTTCCTGAGTAGAGAGTCAATAGTTTGGGTTTGATCCCAACCTGCGCGCCAGAAAAAAATAAAGCGTTTAGTTCATTAAAAAAATATATACATATACATATTAAATATTAACAAAAATGTGCCATCAAGCAAACTAAACTATTACTAAATGCAATGTGCTATAGAACAAAATGTAAATTTATTATAAATCCCTAAAGTTTATAAAGTTAGAAATCTCCTCTAAATGGTAAAAAAGCTTGTAAAAGCATATCGTCGATGTTTTTGCCAAACTGCCCATCGACCAATTGCAAAACCGCCTATCTTACGGTGCTCAAATTTTAAAGGAGAGCGAAAAAACGGGGTTTCTTTGAAGGCATTGCTTTGAGAGGTGGTCTTTTCTCTAGCTATTATTTTACAAATCTGTTGGTTTAATAACGATTTTATGATTTTTATTGCATAAATCTCGATGCCTGGAGTTCAGGGTTACTAAATCTCATTTTTGCTATAACGCCGATTTAGGCGGTTTTGCAACTGGTCGATGGGCGGTTTTGCAAAGTCATCGACGATATATGTATGTACATATGCACATACATATACATACATATATATTTTTGTTACATCATAAATACATATGTAGTTCTCGATTTTCTTTTAAAGAATTGATGTTATAGGTAAACCAACTTTAGATCGATAAATTTTCAAAACATGTTTGTAAGGCGATTATTAAACATTTTGAATATAGTACCTTGTTCAGTTGCTACTTGCGGCAAATAAGTGGCAGTCCTTTTGCACCCACGTTCATTTAAAAATTCAATACGTATGCCATGTACGCCTAATGTCCAATCGAGATACCCGTGTGCTTCCTCGAAATTCTGCAAAATCGAAACAGACACAGTCAATTTGGGCAGCTCTTCCCTGGCGATGGGGGCAAAACGCGAGTCTTTCAAAGCACTCGTTAGTGCATATTCGCGTAGCCCGTTGTGCAAATGCATAGCACTAAAAGTGCCAATACAACCACGTAATCGCTTGTCGCGTCCTGTTTTCCAAGTAACAAATAATGGGCTATAAAAGTGGCAATATGAAATTATTAAAAAATAAACTCGCGAGTTTCTATTTGACAAACACTTACTAAGCATCATTTGTAAACTTGGGAGTTCCAGGACCCTCTAAATTGTTAAGCTCACAGTCTAGCACCTCGAAACAAAATGTACACATGTCCGGCACCGCTACATTACCTAATGGTTTTACGCTGTAGCCATTTGTGTGTCGACTTGAGCCACCACCGCGGCGATAGCAGTCACCATCATCGTTTCCACAATCACCGTTCTGCAGGTGATGCGGCCGTAGTCCATTCATTTGTGATGTACCTGATCCACGGTAATTGTTGTGGTGTTGGTAGTTATTTGACATATTGTACTTGGTTCTTGTCTTGTTGCAGTATCTGCCTTGGTTTAGTGCGTTATATGTATGCCTATTACAAAACTAAATTTGTATTTTTACTCGTTGCTATTTGTTCTTAAATGACACTGCTCTGACCCAATGTGGATTGCAGGGATTCAGTATAGGTTTTAATGTATCTATTACTATTTACTCTTAATTTTATTATGGACGCAGATTCACACTGATACTGATACCAGGATCCGCTTGTTTGTTGCAGGACTAATTTTTAAATTGTCTATCGCTAAGATCTCTAGTGTTAATGGCAGTGCGCAACTTGATGATGTGAATCTAAAAAGATTTAACCTGAAAATAAGAAAAATATTATGTTAGAACAAAGCGTATAAGTTTTATGTGCATGCCATTCAATCTTATCCTATATTTGTATACTATATTTTTAGCGGAACAAAAATAAAGGGTCCACCTCCTTAAACGTAAATTTGATCGTCGACCAATTAAAATCTGTACCCAACGAATACAGTTGCGTCAGTAGTGCGTGATATGTAATACATAAAAATCAGAGGTACTGTTCGATAAAATTAAAATAAAAGACAACGACTAAATCACCCATTCAGTTCTACTATGCTTTGTTTACGAATACTCGTTTGACCTCAACAAGCGATTATCATTTAGTATCAGTCACAGGCCTTTGTGCACAGCCACGCACGCGACCCCCTACACCCTCCCTTGTACAACTAAAAATCTAGCTGTGGTAGCCTACCGAACAGACAGTTTGTCGATCCTCCCATCTAGCTCTTGTCCATTCCCGTCTTGTAAAGTGTAGTCTTTGCATTCAGTCCACGGATCGTTTTCTTTATATGATCACAGCACAATCACCCCATTCGCTACATTCACATTTGTTATTTTCTATTTTTTTCTGACATTCGCTTCGATACTAGAGCAATTTGGTTTTTCTGAAGCGCCTCCAATATTTTCGCCAATTTTCCGACGAGCTATTCCTTTTCCACACTTTTAAAATTACTGTAATTTCAAGCCCAACGCTTTTTCTAAAGATTCCGACAATTTTGGTGCAGATTTGTGTAAATTTTTCCAAGTAATTTTCGCTTTTAAAGCATAACCAAATCGCACTTATTTCCCTGCTGCTGGCAGCGTTTCCAAATCGCTCATCTTCGGTTATTCTTCTTATGACTTTCGTAAAACTACCAGTGTTGCCAGAAATATGTGGTAAAATATATCGGGAAAAATAAAGGAAAATCAATGAACATAAACAAGACGAGGTCAAACAATTAAGGCAAGAATGATAGAATACAAGATTGCGCATTTCGGGCGGCGTTGTCATTTCTGATGCAAAAGTTACCAAAGCCTAAGAGCAGGTTAAAAAAAATGGCAGCAGAGCCAAGTATCTAAATATTTGATTCTTCGATGGGAAACGTGATTTTATAATAAGATTATCACTAGTGGGATTCATAAAACGTTACGGCAAAACTGATTACTTATATGTGGAAACTATCATGCGACATGATTTTTCCATCGTCACATTAGGTTCTTTCCCGTACAACCCGTCCGGATCTGGTAATTAGGGAAGAAGTAAAAAACTTGCTCTCAAAAATGGAACAACGTTCACAAGTACGGGAATGCAAAAAAAAAAAACACATTTCGTGCCCAGAATTTGAGAAATTGCTGATTCAAGTCGTTTTTGTTATCGGCACTTAAATTCAAACACTTAGAAAATGAATTTAGATTTCACAAATTTAATTGTATTAATAAAGAAGTATATAAAGTATTTCTCAAATTCCGGGCACGAAATGTGGTTTTTTGGGTTCCCGTACTTCTGGGCATTATTCCATTTTTGAGGGCAAATTTTTCGCTTATATCAGACACAGCGGATCATAAATTGAACCAGGTCTCTAAAATTTTTAATCCGAATCCTGATTATTGAGGAAGCAAACGCAGCATATATATTTTTGCAAAATAAGTATAGTTTTAAAGAAACTTCTGGTAACACTGAAAATTACCCAAATGCACTAGCGCGAATCGGTTAGGGATTTTTATAACGAAAAGAATTCAACCAGAACGTAGGGTTGCATTTTTCTGAAACCGATTTCTTCGATTAGTGAACCAATTGGTGCAATCCCTTATTCCTCGGACTCGGACTAGTGAAACTGTCAAAAATAAAAATTCGCTCAGAGCGAGAGAGTAACATTGAAAAGTACGGGATCGCTTTCTAGTAAAAATTGTAACTTCTGTCAACTTCAACAAAACCTCCAAATTTTGGTTGTAAATTTTTGTTTATTTTGTATGTAAACACACTTAGCTCACACATGTAAATAACCAAAAATTCTTTCAAATTCATTAAAATCTACTTAAGCAAGTAATTAAATACTTTTCAACATGAATTAGCAGAGTGCACTTTTCTTTTGTTTACAATTTGGTTGCCAAACACACTACCTCTGATCGTTTGACACATTTACCAGAATTTACCAGCAAAAAATTCTCGGACTAAAACTGGTAACTTCTGACAGAGAGAGAACCGTATTTACTCTCTTTTTTGTCCTCTCAATAGTCAGAGAACTGAGTACGGGATCGATTTCCAGTAAATTCTGACTGATTCTGACTATTTCTGACTAGTCCGGAATCGTACGGGATCGCAACTTACTTGCTGTCTCCACAGGCAAAAGTTTTTATCTTGATAATGTTATCAGGCAAAATTTTGCCCATGGAGACCGCATATAGTTCTTGGCAAGCAATAATTATCAGAGCTTTTATCTTGATAAATATTGTCAGCAATTTGGTACTTTGACAGCTACATTTTCATTTGCGCGATAGCTTCGTGGAGACAACATTATCGATATTTCAATATAAAAGCAAAAATTGAACTGTTTTCTATTAAAATATGTGTTATTATTTGCTTGGGTGTGAAATAGCATACTTTTTAAACTTTTTAATTGATGAAATCTGGCAAAAATTGCCATCTTATAAATGCTTTTATCAAGATCAAAAATGCCCACGCACAAATATTGCCGCTGATAAAATTTGTATTAGGCAATAAAAATGACAGTTGGTAGGCAAAAACTTTTGCCTGTGGAGACGGACCGTAATGAACGAAAGACACAAGATCACGCAAGAACACATGAACCAAAAAGACAAGATCAGCAGGAGACTAGCCCGTTAGAATCGCATTTAGGAAAAAAGTTGAACGATTTTGACATTAGCCGTTTGTTTACATTTCTTCGTTGTTTACAATTTGGTGGTGGCTTTTTACTGCAATTTTCTTCATTTTCGCTTGTGACAACGTGTGTACACATAAGATAAAGAATAATTTAACACAACGGCATGATTTATAGAAGAATTTGCATAATAAAAATGATTTTTCATGCGTTCAACAATTTCGCGGTTTTCTCCGTTCTCTTTGTTGTTTACTTCTTACAACAAAGATGGCGTCGAGATTTCGGCAGCTAGAAAATAACTTTTTTCGTTCTTTCCTTCCCGCGTGATCTTGTGTCTTTCGTTCATGGCAAGAACAAGAGTGAAAAAGGATGATTTTTCGAGCGGGTTTTACACCATCATATTTCACTGGAAAATGAACGAAAAACAAACAATGCAAACCAAAATTAACCAGAACTATTGTCAGCTACTTTAAGCACACGATTTAGGTAAAATTATTAATTAAAATGCTTTAAAACGTGTTGCGTTGAATTAGCTCTTCTTTAGTTAAAGAAAAGTGTGAAATAGCGGTGCTTGTAAAGTAAACAAATGCTCACCAGATGGCCCCACTCTCCCAACTTTTTTTCCCAAAACCAGTTACAAATACAATGGCAGGTCCTTGCGTGATCTTGTATTTATAGTTCATGTAGTGAACCCAGTGTTGCCAGGTTATTACAGCAGTTAACCCCCAAAGGCATGCCGCTTTCCCCCAGATTTCCCTTTCGTACCCCTAAATTTATTTACATCTTTGGAATTTGTTGTAATTTTATTTACGAGCTTTACGAGGTTTACGAGGCTTTTACGAGTTTGAGGAAGACCCCTTATGTATTATATTTCAAACATCTATCATTTGGTAAAAATCAAAAGAAATTAAACAGATAGTAGGTCTCTTCGATCAACGCACTAGAGTACCTTACTAACTGAGTGACTGAGAAAGTTTGGTGATTAAGAAGTGGGGAGAGGGCATACATCTGTGACAGCCTATGTTTAATTTTCATTGACTCCCAAAGTTCGCTGACAAAAGAGCAGAAGAGCAGGATCCTAGTATGGATGTACACAATGGCAGTACGACCAATAGTAACCTATGGGGTAGTAACTTGGGTCAAGGCTCACAGTCTGACGTCCGTTTGCGTTACGGGGGCAGTGCTCCCATGCCCAACTGAAGCGCTGAAGATAATTCTGGAACTCGTGCCTCTGCATCGCTCATATGAACAGGTTGCAAAGCGAACTCTGCTGAATTTCGTGAGACAGGGCATTAGCAAAAGTAAGGTATAATCAGCTAGGAGAATGGACAAGCTAGGCTCGCAACTCCCTCTAGTCCTGCTCCCCAGAGAGGATATGCTTGGGGTACACGCCTTCAAAAGAATCTTTAAAGTGGTCTGTTGTTGCAATATCCAGACCATAACTGGGTCAGAGTCCTGGGTCTCCCAGAAACTCACCCACCTGGGTTTCTCTTGGCCGTTGAAGCTCTGTGTCTGCTTCAGGTGTTGGTTGGGTTCCGATCATGGCATTCATAGGTCGGTAGTCGTGGTAGGTGGTAAACGACTCGCTATGAATGTCAATGATTATGGTTGGTCATTGTATGTCTGGACCAGGTCCATGTGTTCAAATAGATGCCCTCTGACATGCCAAGGCGGAGGCTTCTCCTTGAGGGAGGATCTGAGCCCTTCCCCTCAGAAGATGCCAACACCACCAAGACCAATTAAGGGAACAGCACTGGTGTAACACCGCGGGTCTTCGTCAATGTAAAAGTTTAATAGGAGGGTACAATCTGAAAACATACACGTTACTCATGGATCTCAATAAGGATAAGAGGCCTTTTGACGGGCCATTGCAGGCTAAGAGGCCACTTTTATAACCTACGTCGCTTTTGTTAATCTGCCAATTACACATTAATGCACCTTCTTCTGGAGTGTTAGACCATTTCACGTAGAAGGGAGACGAGCATATGGCATCTATGGCTAAGAGAGGAAGACATGCACGCCCTACCTCCTGGATCTATTCTGTATATTATAGTCTCTAGGGCGGTGTTGTGATGAGCTGAGGGCACAAGAGACCTACTAGTCGCAAAGCTTTATCTATCTAACAATCTATTGCTTGTCAGGGCTGCCTTACTGACGAAAATATGTCTATACCTTCAGTTTCTCCAATTCTCCTCTCAAGTGCGGTTCAAAACTTTAGGTGTTATTGTAACTGAATAAAGAGGCTGCAAATGCAAATACGCTGCGGAGCTAGCTGTATAGAAGTTTAGGGAAGCTGGTGAGGTCTGCTGTACCAATTCTGTTGTACTGGTGTCATAAATTTTATGATATCATGAGTATCAAAAATAAAGCTGATGTACCATGAGTCGGTTTCCCCACTTTAGCTACTGCACTTTAGCGTAGCAAAGATTCTTTCTTGTCCAGAATTCTGTGCTTTCATTCCCTGCAAAAATCGTTGGACCATGTAGTCTATTTGTGGTAAATTGGAGTACTTACAAAAGTGTTCCTCTGTCATGCTGTAGCGGACCAACTCGTGTCTCTGCACCAGTTTATTGTTACCCGATCACTGCTCGTATTTTACCGAAACGTGATTGAAGTTGAGCATTTGAAAGCACATTTGCATGTCTGGCTGTAGCTGAACGTGTAGAGATGCTCGCTGTTAGTTCTTAGCTCCCATCATGTTCGGGTTCGAAAACCGTCAGAGGCAACATGTAATTTTTAATTTTTGTCTTGGTTTTTATTAATTTCGAAAAAGCATTTGAGAAGTGAAGAACAAAAGCGTGTACAAACGAAAAAATATAACAACAATGCCATTGTTAATATGTTGGATTAGTTTTGTGCTACTCTGATGTAATGCAGGGATGGAGTATATAGGGCATCGCAATGTTAATTGGACCATATTTTTTATATGAATTGTGGTTAATTTTGGAGTACTCCTTGGCCCTTCGGGAGTACTCTTTACATGCATGCATGGAGTAGTCGCGATTTTTG